CACCCCCTCACCCCTCATCCTCTTCCCACTCCCCTTCCCAACCTTCCACGCCTCTCCCACTCCCCTCCTATCCCACCTTCCACAACCTCCCACCTTCCACCCCTCCCATCCCTCCACTACCTCCCCCTCACCGTCGCTCGCACCTTGCCCTCCCCTCACGCCGATTCCCTCTCCTCCACTTCACCCTCCCTTCCCACCTTACCACCTCTCCCATCCTCCCTCCACATCCTTCCCTCCCTCTCCCCCTTTTCCTCTCCCACCACCATTTTCAAGCAACTTCCCCCCGCATCCCGCCCCTCTCGCTGGCAAATTCAACCGTCACAGATAGCACGGAGATTCGACTGCGCACACGCTCTCTGAATACCCAACGTCCCAGGGCCTCAATTTGGAAGGCGCTTTGGGATAACGCAAGTATCACCGGGGAGGGGGTAGACCACGGGGCCGCTGGGCCGCGAGAGCGCGAAGACGCGGCGGAGGGGGAGGGGGAAGACAGGCGGGCACGCGGGTACAACCTCTGGGGAGGGGGCAGACAGGGGGAGGGGGAGGGGTAAACTGGGGAGGGGGGCGGGATAAGCGTAATGTCTATTATTATTTCTATTATTATTATCATTGTTATTAGCATTATCATCATCAATATTATTAGTAGTTGTAGTAGTATCAAATTATCAGTATAATAATAGTCATTGTTATCACTATCGTCATAGTTACTGTCATCATCATCGTTATTAGCATCATCAATATTCTCATTAGCAATTTTTATTCACTGAATTTATTTTCGTTTCTCGCAGTTCGTTGTTGTCCCTGTCATTCACACTTGTCTCTCTCCATTCACCCTTCTCTATCTATCTGTCTGTCTATCTGTCTGTTTGTCTGTCTGTCTGTATATCTATTTATTTACCTCTATCTTTCTCTATATCTATCTCTAACTCTCTCGCACTCTATCTATCTCATTTATCAGTAATTGAACATAATTCAGTGTTAAAGAAATACAGAGAACATTTTTAACATGGAAAAAATAACATCCAGCGTTTGAGTAAATGATAAGAGAAGGAAAAATATAAACATTATATCAGTGATAACAGACAATAACAACATTCTCTAACAAACTATCTTAGTAAATACGATACGATACCTGAAGTTCGTCTAAGCGAACGAGAAAAAACAAAACGGGGAAACTAGCCTGTTTTCCCGTTAAGGTAAACACGATACGTATGAATGGACGTTTGTTTACAAGACTATTGAAAAGGGTGTGATGCCTGGCTGGCTTTCCGAGGGGTCGTCTGTGTAAACTGGAACTCGGGTTGTTTTTGTTTCTGAGATAAATGTGTGTATAGGATGTTTGTGTTTTGTATGGGGGAATGTATAGTTGAGGTTCCGTTGCATGTGTGTTTTAGTGTTTTGTTTTTTTATTTTTTGTATATTTGTTTGTTTTAAATGGGTATAATTTAAATTCTTCTAGATTTGTGTGTGATAATGAATAGGCTATACGAGAGATTTGTCTTCGTGCCGTGCGTAAGAAAGTATATTTGTGTGTTCTTGTTATTATTGTTCTTATTGTTTTGTGTGAATAATGCCATCTTTTGTGCATACGTGTGGAGGTTTGTGGCAATGAGAACGTGCGTGAGGACGTATGGTTAGGCTTCACTCAAGGCTCTTGTGAGTGTGGGAGTTGGTATTCAGTAAAAGGTTTTGCTCTTACGGTTACGTGAGAATGTACATTGAAAAAATCGTGTATCATGTATGTCTTCTTGTATATTTTTTTCTTCTGTATGCGGTGTGAGATAAAAAGTACACAGTAAGTATATGTATAGGTTTCATAATACCTAACGTTGGGTCCCCAGTGTGATTTTCCCTACTCTACCTGCATGGATGTATATGAAATCCAATACACCTTGATAAACGAGCATGTATACCTACGTGTGTACAGGGCATCGTGCTTGCTTATAAGTCCAAGCATGAAGGGAAGGTTTACTTTGCCTCTTGCGCCTGCCTACGCACATATGGTCTTCGGTTTACGCCAGTGTTTAAACGGAGTTATAAATAGCTTGAAAGGCGTTTGGTCCGCCCGATACCCTCCGTCAACTCCGCCCATTCTAAGGAAGTGGAAACTGTGGGTTATGGCTTGAGGATTGGGAAGAGGAATAATATGAGAGAGAAAAAAAAAAGTGTTGAATGAAAAATAGGGAGAGGTAGGATTAATTAGAGAGAGAGAGAGAAGAAGAAAAAAAAAGAGTGTTGTATGAAAATAGGGATAAGGGTAGAACTAAAGAGAGAGAGAGAGAGAGACAGAGAAGAGGAGAGGATGAGATAGAGAGAGAGAGAGGAGACGAGAGAGAGGAACGTATGATGTCGATGACGGTGGGAGAAAATGAAGAGAGATACATAGAGAGAGAAAGAGGAGGTATAGAGAGAGAGAGACAAGATGAGATAGATAGAGAGAAAGAGAGGGTGGGAGATGAAGATGGGGTTGACGAATGGGGAGAAAATAAAGGGAGAGGAATACATAGAGAAACAGAAAGGGGAGGAGAAGAGAGATATAGGTTGGAAAAAACTGGAAAGTGAGGATGACCAAGAAAGAATGAAGGTGGAAGGGAAGAATAAAGAAGAGTAGAGAGGGAGAATGGAAGAAAGGGAGATAAGAATAAAGGAGAAGAACACAGAGAAAGATGGAGGAGAAAGAGAGAGAGAGATAAAAGAACTAAAAAATAAACAACTTTTCCTACTTTACTGTTGAAATTTAGACATTGTTTACCTCCCATTTTTTACAATATCTTTATCCTTAAGACATTAGGTATAAACATTTCAC